CTATAGCCAATGCAGTCACATGTGCTCCATTTCTAACTCGTAGGTCCACCTCTCCCTTGGTGAGCACTCTACTCTGCCTTAGCCTCTGCACATCAATACAAATGTGAGTACCACATCTTGTGTCAATGACCTAAGATGTTGAGGGAGAGAAGTTAATCTCAATCATAAATATTCCTGAAGTCGTAGCATCTGACTTCTTCTTGCTTGCAAGAAAAGCCTTGCAGTGTTTCCTCCAATGGTCAGGCTTGCCACAATAGAAGCAGACTACTTTGCCCTTCCCTATGCCATTCTCAGGCCCAAGAGCACCCTATCCTTTGGGCTTGGCCTTACCCTTGCCGTTACCCTTTCCTTTACAAGCAGCAACCAGTAAAACAGGCTTGGACTTCTTCAAGTCCTGCTCTGCAGTCCTTAGCATAATCAAAAGCTCCGACAAGGTTTTCACCATCGTGTTCATATTGAAGTTCATTATGAACGATGCATAAGAGTCAGGCAAGGATTGCAGAATTCAAGCCAATTGTAATTCTGCATCCAACTCAAATCCCAAAGTCTCAAGCCTTTCTATGTGCTCGATCATCTTGAGCACATGAGGACCAACTTGGGCTCCCTCAGTCAGACGACTTCCAAACAGTGCTTTTGACACCTTGTACCTCTCATGTCGAGCATTTCCTTCGAAAAGCCCCTTGAGGTGTAGAATAATGGCAACAACATCTATATTCTCATGCTGCTTTTGCAATACTAGTGTCATCGATGCTAACATCACGCATTGAATGCCATCAGCATCATCAATGAACTTTTGATAAGTGTCCTTTACTTCTTAAGTGGCATCAGGATCAGGCCCAACCATGTATGGCTTTTCAAAGATATACAATTTCTTTTCCGACTTGAGTATAATTCGAAGATTACAATACCAATCTGAGAAATTGGATCCATCCAACCTGTTTTCTTTCTCGATTGTCGGTCGCAGTTCATAATGCTCATTTTGGTGAATCTACAATTGCAGAAAAGATAAAGTCATTATAAAGTTCATTATTATTTAATATGATCTTCTATTAAACGACGCTCCCACTATTTTCCTCAAGTCAATAGCCCTCACTATTAACTCGGGAAAGCACATTGACTTTCCTAGTGGACTGATTCTCAGTAGCGGTAGAGTGGACACTACATGTCACCACATACATACAACATGTGTACTTCTCTACTATGCCTATGACGCGTTTATCAACCTTCGCTTTTGGCGAACAAGCAAAACCGTCATTTTAAGTCGACCCATCACCATTAAGGAAAACTCCAATGAATTTTAACCTTCTACTGGTAGAAGTGTACCCTTCGCTTTGGCAAACAAGGTTTCGACGAACAGTGGTTTGATTAAAACCATGGTGATGGAAGGCATACATGACTTAATATACTTTAATTGAGGGGTTATTATTTAATGTCTCACCAGATTATTATCTTTGTTAGAATGACATTGTTTTAGCATGTTATTTAACATTCAACCTTAGCATGCATTCTAAACAAAATATTAAAACGTGCCGGTACATGGCCCAACTAAAACTGATTTTCTCGAGCCTAGAGGAATTGGTAGGTCACCTAGGGGTCCTGCAATAAAATCTTGAGTCTTCAAGTATGATTGTCTCTTCCCTGATCTGTTTTCAAGTACATTACAAAAACATCATTTTAAATTTACAGTGAGAATAATTATACAAAATTCTTTGTATCAACAAATTTAGAAACCTCGATTAACATTCGAGGGGAATGAGATGAGAAAAGAATGTACATCGAGAAGGGTAGAAAGGTAGGACTCGCAGGCCCTATTTAATAAATTATAACCATACATACCCAAAACTTTTAAAACATTCACCATAGGTCTAACGCTCATGTACCGGGCACCATGCAATATACAAACAAGTACATGGCATACATTTCAAAAAAATCAATTTTTGAATTAGGTGGGTATTGGGTGGGTGACTTATTAATTACCCCCTGACAATTTGCAGATCTACATTTGGTCCAAAAATTTTGAAACTTTTCACTTTGGCCCCTACGCTCTCGAAAGTGCACTCGTTGTGGCGATGGATTAGATCGCCGCAGCGTGCGCTAATTTGCGTCGCGAACATGCACCACGTGCGATCGCCACGACGATGGGTTATATCGTTGCAACAAGCACTGATTTTTGTCAGCGTTCATATATCACCGCGGCGAGCACTGATATTCAATCAACAATCGCACTAAGGACGCTCATCATGGTGATCGGCTATATCGCCGCGGCGAGCGTACAATGATCTGTAGCATCAGATCAGTTCAACCAACCACCAAAAATACGCCAAACGGATTTTGTAATCAATCTAAACTTCTGATTTCAACAAAAATCAATAATCCAATATACCAAACTTGCATATCATCAACAAATTAAATTAATCAATTAAATCGATTTCTTAAAACATGCTTTCAAGGCAGATTTTGTGCAGATTCATCAAGGCAACATGTTATCAATCAAATACATGTAATCAACCATACATAAAACTATAAAATCTGGTACCCTAGGCTTGGATACCACTGTTAGGAAACGATCAAGTCATGGCAGCGGAAAACAAAAATTATTTACAACATGGATCGTTCCTTAGAACAAAGATCAGGGCACAAATTTACAGTTTATACATTATATTAGAATCTGTAGAAAAATCAATTTAGAGTTAAGAAATCATACGCACGTTTGGAGGCTCCTCCAACTTGTCTCTGAATAGGTTTCGCTACCAATCCAAGGGTAGGATCGAACCAGCGGTAGTCCACACGAAGATAACCCCAAGGAACTAAAGAGGGATTTGCTAGATCCTTTTTAGCCTTAAGAACAAAATCAACACAATTTTGATTCAACACAAAAAGCAATCTGGGAAGAGAGCAAAGGGGGCTGGAATTTTTTACCTTAAAGATTGAATGAAATGTTATTTAGATATTCACAAAAATTATGCACTTATATAGTGCACACAATGCCCTATTCCCTCATGGAATAGGCTTGGGCACCAACCCAAACAACCTCTATGTCCAAACAGCCCCATTTAGATATTTTAATTATTATTATTATTATTATATCGATTAAATTAAATTAATATATATATCTTATATATATTAACATTTAACAATAACAATAATTCATTTGAATATAATCTCACTTATTTAATTTTTAATATCAAATTAAATAAAGGCTACGACCTCAACCAATTTAATTGCACTGTGAGATTACTAAATACCATTTTGCCTAAAAAGGCGAAAACCCCCTTCTTATAAACTGGTTCTTAAATTATCTTCTACGTGTGCGACCTGTAGGCTCCTTATCATACCAATAGTATGTAGTATCGCGATTAACACCAATTAATCATCTCACTAACCATCCACATGGAATCCTCTGGTGGGTCAGTCCAATGAACTTGCCTACAGCAAACACGCATGTGTTGCACCAGATTGTCACCAAACAACCTTGACAAGTGAGATCAGTCACTGCCTTTCGACAAGGTTGTTCAACACTATGATAGCCTTACCGTATTATCTGTGCCCTTATTTTAGAAACTAGGACTACGGACGTTTCTAGAATGGCCATCATATAAGCTCATAGGGTTCTCACTATCAAGATTTGAAACACTTGATACCCTCGTCACGGGTATACCATTCTAAGGACATATATCAATACATACAATAATGATTTACGCGATTGAACATTATTATAAAGAGTCAATTCTACAATAATTGGTTGGCTCTAGGGCACCTACTCCAACAGTTTTTACACAGAATGCCAATTGATTTTAATTTATTAGGTTACAATATATGATACCTAAAGATAGTTGTTTAACATTTATTTATTTATTTATTTCAATGGAAAACGAATGTATAAATTACTGATCAATGGCCATTCATTGTGAGATAATAAGCTTGGTAGTTCATGCAATAGGATGTAGTGATTTGTGGATTTGATGGAATGTGATTATTACAGAGTGTTGTGATCTAGGCTTAATTAAAGGTTGAAACTGTTCTGGCTTGACTCATGGGATTATAGTTACAGATTTCATGTAATTACATTGATTGTATTTGATTGTATTTCCATATTTTACATTTGTAATCTTGTATAAGTTGAACACATTACAATACTAAAATATACAGAAAAGAAATATTCTTTCATCTTCTATTCTCTTATCTTCTAGGCACTCTGTCATCTTTCCTTGACCTCTTTTGCCTCTGTTCTTGCCATACTCTGACATGGTATCAGAGCCACTACACTTCCTTTAGCTTCCGCAACTTTATCTTTCTTTTTCTATCCCTACAAAGGCAAACAAAAACTCTATTAGTTTCTCTCAAAATTCTACTTGTCAATCACCAAAATCAATTTCCAAAAAGTTATCGGATCAAACACTTCAATGACAACCAAAACACGCACTGCTGAACTAGCCCACAATGAAACAAACCTAAACACCACAACTTCAAGCCCAAGCCCAAACACCACAAACCCCACAAATGGCCCAAATCCCACAAATGGCTCAACTGCAACAATCGGCCCAACTCTCACAACAAGCCCACCTCTCACAATAGGCCCACCTCTCACAACAGGCCCAAACCCATTTCCCTATGGTATGCCGAGTCACAACCTAGATTCACCTCAACCCACGGGTCAATACCCGTATCCTTTCACCTTCCAAATGGTTTAACCCACCGGTCACCGCCCTGAACCAAGCGATATCCTCTTCTCCCCGACTTCTAATGGACCAAAAATTACACTCATCAAGCAGTAGTTAATCGGATCTAAAAACTACTTAATGTGGGCAAGAGATTTTCGGTGAGCCCTCATTACTAAAGATAAAGAAGGCTTTGTCGGCGACACCATCCCACCACCACCTTTGGATTCACCTCTTCATCGTTACTGGAAGAAGTGCAATATGCTCGTGAGATCTTGGCTCAGCAATTGTCTATCTTCCAAAGTGGTGGCCGGAGTGTCGTCGACTAAAATATATGCAGAAATGTGGCAAAATATTAGAGACTTGCATGGAAAACTCGATTTGGCCAAGGTTTACACTCTCGGGCAACAACTCGCCGAAATCAATCAAGGTAATGCAACTGTGACTTTATATTTTAACAAACTCTCTTCAATGTGGCATGAATTAGATGTTGTCGAAGAAAAGCTTGAAGGACCGCCGGCAACTCTCACACAATTTCAGAGGATTCGCAATCAAGAACAACTTAATCATTTCCTTTTAGGTCTCAATGAAGATTTTCTGGCATTTCGGACACAGATCCTTGCCGCAGCTCCACCACCAAATCTTCGTTAGGGTTTTTAGCTTGATGTGTAGGAAGAGAGCCAATGACATGTTGTCGTGAATGGTTCTTGATCTGGTGACACGATTGCCTTTGTCGACACTCGCCAGAATGGCTTGGGTGCTCTAATTTCAAAGAAAGACTTACGGCTAGGGTTCCACAATATTTCTCAAGCTCCTGTTTTATATGAACCAACCAAGGGTCCAAATCAAATACAGCAATCCAACAGCTCTCAGTTGATCTCTATTCATAACCAATCCAATAGCCCACATGCTGCCGCATCATCACGGGGTCCATTGGGTCCAATACACTTAATATTTCAAATTAGCAAAATGGACTAGCTTGGTCCAATGGTTTAACCAAGTCAACATGGAAAAATGGGCAAAACCGATCATACTGGTCAAATGGGCCCGGGTCACACAAAGCTGAGAAAAATAATTTTTTTTACGACTATTGTAAAAAAAGGAGTCACACCCGAGATAAATGCTAGAAATTGCATTGGCGTCCTATTGACAAAACTGGTAATTCAACTGTTCACCAATTCAACAATATTCTTGCTGAAAATACAATTTCTACACCCATGATCAGCACAAAATATTATAATCAATTCTTTCAAATGATGAATCAACTCCCAAAAATGTCCTCGGCTTCCTACGTAGGTACATCTTATTGTTTAAATTCAATTAAAGATGATATTTGGATTATTGATTTAGGGGCTAGTGATCATATCATTTGTAACCAAAATTTTTTTACCCACAAATCCAACACATCATCCATTTCTGTTCGCATGCCGAATAGGAATATAGCACCTGCCACACATATAGGAATAGTTCAACTCAGTAAACACCTCATCCTTAAGAATGCTCTATTTGTTCCAGATTTCCAATTCAACCTCATATCCGTCTCAAAAATTGGCACTAATAATCACTATATTCTAAAATTCCACTCTAATACATGTGAATTTCAGGACCCTATGACTAGGACATTGATGGGCTTGGGTAGAGTAACTAGTGGCCTTTATTACTGGATTTCCGATAGTTCTTCTAATAAATTTCTCCATTGTATTACAAACAATAGAACTTTTCAATTTAATACAAATATCAATAAAAATTCTTTTATTCTCCATCAAAGACTAGGTCACAGTGTATCCATTCCTCAACCAAAATGCCCAATATGTCCTTTAGCAAAACAATCTCACATCACTTTTCCTCATAGCATTTCTGCTACCACACATATTGATATATGGGGTCCATATCACACTCAAAATCATGATGGGTCTAGGTTTTTCCTCACCATTGTAGATGATTTCTCCAGTAGCACATGGGCATTCCTAATGTAGTCAAAAAACACAAACCCTCACTCACATTAGGAATTTTATATCCATGGTAACCACCCAATTCAAATCATCAGCTCAAAGAGTTTGAACTGATAATGGTTGGGAATTTTCTAGTCGTTGGTGTTCCTCATTGTTTTTGTCATTGAGCACTCTACATGAAAGCTCTTGCATATACACTCCTCAACAAAATAGGGTTATAGAAAGAAAACATAGACACCTCTTAGAAGTAGTTAGAGCCCTAAAACACCAAGCCAAAATTCCCATTAAATTTTGGGGAGAATGTGTGATCACTGCAACATATTTGATCAATCAGATGCCAACCCGTATCCTTGGCGGGAAAAGTCCTTATGAGGTATTGTTTGGTAAAGCACCCAAAATCAGTCACCGTCGAGTTTTTGGCTATCTCTGTTATTCTGCAATTGTTGGGCCTCCTGAAAAATTTGGACCACGAGCTACTCAGTGCATTTTAATAGGATATCCAATGTTACAAAAATGATATCTTCTCTATAACCCCACAATAGATAAGTTTTTTATTTCTAGAGATGTCATTTTTCATGAAGACAGTTTTCCTTTTGTTACAAATGATGCCACTCCAACTCCATCAACCAAGTCACCAATGTTTCTTGAAGATGAATCTCCAACAGGTCCTCAGTTTGCAATACTTCCTATCCCTACTACCAATTTACCATCACTAGAAACTACACCACAACATCAGCACCAACCTACTCCCATATCTCCACAAACAGTCTCCCCTCGACCTATTGAAATACCCTCAACCATGCAAACAGAATCTCCTGTCCCACCTCCAGTTTATCCTCAAAGATGGTTAACTCGTTCCACCCGACCACTTATCTGAACATTAGATAATGTTTGCCCCACCATACTAAATTCATCAGGTGCACCATACCCAACCTCCAATTATGTCAATTATGATCGTCTTTCTCCTACATACAAAGCTTGTATCAACCAAATTTTTACCGAACATGAACTGTTCAGCTATTTAGAAGTTGTCCAGCATATTCAGTGGCAGAAGGCAATGGCAGATGAATTGAACACCCTAGCTCATAATAACACTTGGGATCTGGTACCTCGCCCCACTCACAAGAAACACATTGGCTACAAATAGGTGTTCAAAATCAAATATCGAGCAGATGGTTCCATCGAACAATATAAAGCTTGACTAGTGGCACAAGGTTTCACACAACAAGAAGGTTTTGATTACCAAGAAACAATTTCACTCATTGCCAAACATGTTACTATAAGGTCATTTTTTATCCATTGCCTCTGCTCGTGACTAGTCCTTACACCAAATGGATGTTCATAATGCTTTTCTTCATGGTGATTTACATGAGGAGATATATATGGATCTTCCGCCTAGACTTCACAGAGAGGGGGAGAGCACAGTATGTCATCTGCAAAAGTCTCTTTATGGTCTAAAACAAGCATCTCGGCAGTGGAATGAAAATTTCACAGAGCCTCTTACAAACATTGTTTTTGTACAATCCAAGCATGATTATACCATTGTCTCTTGGCGCAAAGGTGAATAGTTTATTGCACTTATCATTTATGTTGATGACATTTTAATTACAGGAAATGATGAAGAGGGAATCAAAAGTTTGAAAGTGCATCTCAATAGGCATTTTTTAATTAAAGATCTTAGTGAGCCAAAATACTTTCTAGGGATTGAAATTGCCAAATCTCAAGCAGGCATTTCCTTAAGTCAACGAAAATATGTTCTTGAACTTATATCAGACTCTAGGTTAGCAGCATGTAAACCAAATGTTATTCCAATCGAGCAGAATATCAAGCTTACCACTCAAGAGTATGATAAAAGGACACCATCCTCATAAATAGATCTGCCACTACATGATTCCTCACATTATTAGAGACTTGTTAGGCGACTAATTTACCTTACCATGACACGCCTTGATATCAGCTATGCGATCCATATTCTCAGTCAATTCATGCATGGGCCAAAATAATCACACATGGATGTAGCAATGAAGGTACTCAAATACTTAAAAGGATGCCCTGGCTTAGGACTTCTTTTGCCTCGAGATGGAAACTTAAACGTCATAGCATATTGTGACTTTGATTGGACCACATGTCCCATGACAAAGAAATATCTCACTGAGTTCTGTATAAAACTCGAAGGTGCACTAATCTCCTAGAAGACAAAGAAATAATCAATAGTATCTCTCTCATCAACAAAGGCTAAATATAAAGCAATGGCTAAAACAACATGTGAGATCATCTGGATCCTTGGGTTACTAGGAGATTTGGACATGCATACCAAGACACGTGTTCATTTATACTATGATAACAAAGCTGCAAATGATATTGCAACCAATCCAATATTCTATGAAAGAACAAAGCACATAGGATTGATCGTCACTTCATCAAAGAAAAATTTCAAGAAAGTATAATCAAGACTCTACATATCTGCACTTCAGAATAACCAGGGAATGTCTTCACAAAACCATTGTGCAACAGACAACACTCTTATCTTCTTCACAAGCTTGGAGTTTATGACATTAACAAACCACAAGCTTAAGGGGGAGTGATGGAATGTGATTATTACAGAGTGTTGTGATCCAGGCTTAATTAAAGGCTGAAACTATTCTGGCTTGATTCACGGCTTGACTTATTGAATTACAGTTACAGATTTCATGTAATTACATTGATTGTATTTCCATATTTTACATTTGTAATCTTGTATAAATTGAACACATTACAATACTGAAATATACAGAAAAGAAATATTCTTTCATCTTCTATTCTCTTATCTTCTAGGCACTTTGTCATCTTTCCTCAGCCTCTTTTGCCTCTCTTCTTGCCATACTCTAATAGGATCCTTCAAATTTTGCTTTCGTTGATATTTATTTATTTATTGGCATATATATGAGGTTGCTCTCAGTGGGTTTTGGATTACATTTTGATAATCGTAGAATGGATTATCAAGTTGAGTATTGAGTATTTTTATAATTAGTATTTTGCCTATTATGTTCCAACTATATTGATTTCAATTGTTATTCCTACTGCAAAGACCTGTTGAAGGACCTTCTGGTGCAAAGCAAGACCTTAGAAGCTTTAAGCTTATATTGGAGTATATAAAAGCTTTGCCTGTAAGTGCTTTAATGTGTATTCTGGACAAACCTCAGTTTTGGTTCTAGAATTTTCTTGTCTATTTTATGATGCATCACCTTCCAATATTATTACAAAAATGAATGTGCTGCACTTTTTTATAATGTTTTTAGTACTAAAAAAAGGGAATGCTTAGGCATAAGGAATTCTATGACTTTTGTAAAATAAGTGTAGAGACTGCAGATTTTATATACTTCATTTGCCTTTTACAAAATTGTAGTGATAGTGGTTATATCTATGCTGCAAAACTACAGTCCGCAGTTTGCATAATGTTGTTGCCAAGCCATTCATTATGAGATAACAAGCTTGGTAGTTCATGTTGTAGGATGTAGTGGTTTGTAGATCCTTCAAAATTTTCTTTTTTTGATCTTTATTTATTTATTTATTGGCATATATATGAGGTTGCTCTTAGTGGATTTTGGATTATATTTCTATAATGAATTTGTGTACGAATGCAGAAATTGTAATAACCTAGTCGTATAAAATTAAATATTAAGAGACTGATGAGTAGGTGATGAACACCGTATAATTTTT